ATCTCAAGTGAAAGAAATCTGTGAAGATCAGTTTGATAAGATTATTGTAGAAATAAATATCGATGTAATCAATACTTGCAGAAGATTCTTGGGGGTCACTTGCAGAAGATTCTTGGGGGTCACCAGAGGCACCACAGGAAATTCTGAGGCAGCACTGCCTTGTTATGTATCTAGAGGGCCTAAAATCCAACCTCAAATTGGAAATTGGAAATGCAGAGAAGGGGCTAAGCCGATGGGCGGAGTCACAAAGTCCTTGTGAGGCTGTGCTTCCTCACCCTTTGATGCGGTGTAGCCACAGCTTCAGAGACTCCCCACAAAGTTTTTGTCATCAGTGACAGAACACAAGATGTAAGAGCTGAAGAGTTATGAACACAAATGTGAAACGTTGCCTCCTGGAGCTGCCCCTGGAAAGCTCACCAATATGGCATTGGGAGGAAGAGAATCAAAGACTCCCACCCCAAAACAGAGAAAAACGAAATATAGCATGGCCAAAGTAATTTATCTTTATACTTATTTTTTAATCTTTAGAAGATATTTATTGCCATATAGTATACCTAAAGAAAAATGCATTGACCCTAAGGGTACATGAGATTCTTTCACGAATTTCACGTGTACATGCGTACTTTCGCAGGTACATGAAATGACCTCTGTTTATATTCCATCACAATGCCTGGACAAGACTTAATATCCATGAAGAAATCACTTTCTTTGACAGTGATTCATTCAGACACATATGTAATGTCTCTAGGATGGATGAGTCAGTTCCTTCCCCAGCAGTTTTTTCTCTAGAGGGTGAAACACATCAGCCCTGGTTTGAAGGTTGGCACAAAATTCATCAGTGGCCAGTGATGGGCCACAGTTCCAGGGCCCGAGAGTCTCAGGAGCTCAGGGTCCCCAAGTGTCACTGTGAACAGGTGTCACAGTGAGGCTCCCTGAGAGCCAGCCCCAGCCTGCCTCTACAAAGAAAGATCAACATTGGATTAAGGATTGTTGGTTCTGTACAACACATAGACCTTTGGCTCAAAGACCATGCACATCGTGTTACTAATTTGAAATTATTGGCCAAACTTGGATCCATATTTTTGGGCAAAGTCTTAAGGAAACAACTTGTCTTCTTAAACAACAAGGTGGCATTCTTTTTCTTTTTTCTTTTGAGATGCAGTTTCATTCTTGTTGCCCAGGCTGGAGTTCAATGACACAATCTCGGCTCACTGCAACCTCCCACTCCCAGGTTCAAGCGATGCTCCTGCTTCAGCTTCTGGAGTAGCTGGGATTACAGGCGCCTGCCACCACGCCCAGCTAATTTTTTGTATTTTTAGTAGAGATAGGGTTTCACCATGTTGGCCAGGCTGGGACTCAAACTCCTGACCTCAGGCGATATACCCGCCTGGGCCTTCCAAAGTGCTGGGATGACAGACGTGAGCCACTGTGCCTGGCCAAGGCAGCGCTCTTGTAAATAAAAATAAACAGGGTACCCAGTGTTGTGTGGCTATCTACATGCTCAGGTTCTGTGAAAGTTTTAGCTCTGAGTGCATTTTGGCTTGGTAATAGGAGTTTGTTTCCAGGTCATTATTTATGACTCCAGTTTTAATATGCATATCAAATAAAAATTTTGACAGTTGTCATGAAAGGAACATGCAGAATATTGTAATGAACAACACTTCTGCATTTTAGGATGTCTGGGAGAAGGGTGGTGAGAATGGTAATGAGTCATACATCTTCTGTTTCGCCACTATCCTTAGCCATAGTTTCTTGGAGACCTTAAGCATAATTAAATAATAGCTAGAGCCCATCATATGACAAATGATTGACTAGCTATGACGTGGGGCACCCTCATTTCTCAGCCCAGTTTCATGTTCATTGTGTGCTATTAATTATAAGTCTCTAGCATTTATAGAAAATAAATACAGTTACTTAGTTCCCACCCCAAAATGAGGAAATTAGTATCCCTAGGAATGGAGCCCTGGAATCTGCATTTTTTTGAGATGGAGTCTTGCTCTGTTGCTCAGGCTGAAGTGCAATGGCATGATCTCTGCTCACTACAACCTCCACTTCCTGGGTTCAAGCGATTCTCCTGCCTCAGCCTCTAGAGTAGCTGGGATTACAGGCACCTGCCACCACACTGGCTAATTTTTTGCATTTTTAGTAGAGACGAGGTTTCATCATGTTGGCCAGGCTGGTCTCGAACTCCTGATCTCAGGATCTGCTTGCCTTGGGTGGATCCCAAAGTGCTGGGATTACAGGCATGAGCCACCATGCCCAGCTTGGACTCTGCATTTTATAAAGTCACAGTGGCAACTCCGTGACTCTTTTCTAGCAGCCATGATGGCTGCAAGGGCTGGGCTATGACCAGAGGAGGGCTCTGAGACAGGGAGGGTGGCCTGTACCCTCACAGAAGATCCCAAAGAGGAGAACACCTGGATCTTTAGGATGGTGAGTCCAGACAGGTGGAGCGAGGTCTGCTTCCATGAAAGGGAGCTGCTCCCTCCTGCTTCCCTCTGCTTCCATGAGGGAAGCAGGAGGGACAAAGAGTGCTTTCCTTGCTGCTTGTCCCAGCAACGCTGAAGATTCTTCTCATGCACACAGCAGAGCCGCCCAGAAGCATAGCCTCAAAGGACTGACCTGTTACACCATCCCAGAGCTCCAGGCTACCCAGGAGCACTGTCACTGGAGAGATCTTCTCTGGGCCCACACCCAACCATCACGCCACACCGACCTTCTCCCTTGAGCCCAGGACCCTGGACCTTCCCAGGCAGGACCACAGCAGAACCAGCACTGACCCTCAGGTTCTGGCAAAATGTCTAGTGAGAGAACATCTTCATTTATGGTCCAGCCAATTAAGTACACATGCCTTTGCCTTCTCACTTATTGAGGCTGGGGGAAGGGGTCATGTTTTAGAGACAGTGACCTCCCCCTCCTCTGGACAGCCAGACAGGCAGTGGCACATTGCGACAGGAAGGTGATGTAGCAGAAGCGAGCCTTGGCTTCAGAATTTCGAAAACTTGATTCTGAAGGTGGGTGGCAAGAACTCAGGACACTTACAGTGCATTTGGAAGAATATATGAGGGGTTAAAGAATAAAAGCCTCCTCTGTCCCCACTGGTCAAGATTCCATAAGTTGGCAGGGCTTGGGGAGCAAGGTGACTGTTGAAACTTCTGGAATCCTTGAGGAAAGGGCCCTTAGAATTGGGTTGCACCTCAAGAGGGGGAAAGTATGACAAATACTCCAAATAGGTTTGGAGGTGATAAAGGTAGGGAAGTACCGGGTGGAAGTACTGGGTGGAAGTACTGGGTGGAAGTACTGGGTGGAAGTACTGGGTAGAAGTACTGGGTAGAAGAACTAGGCTGGGTGCGGTGGCTCATTCCTGTAATCCCAGCACTTTGGGAGGCCAAGGCAGGCAGATCACAAGGTCAGGAGCTCAAGACCAACCTGGCCGACATGGCAAAACCCTGTCTCTACTAAAAAAACAAAAAACAAACAAACAAACAAAAAACCAGGCGTAGTGGCATGTGCCTGTAATCCCAGCCACTCAGGAGGCTGAGATAGGAGAACTGCTTGAACTTGGGAGGCAGAGGTCGCAGTGAGCCGAGGTCATGCCACTGCGCCCTAGCCTGGGCGACAGAGTGCGATTCTTTCTAAAAAAAAAAAAAAGAACCCGCATGCTTCCTGGGTAGAGACTGGGAAAACAGCAAGCTTGTAGAAAGTAAAAAGTTCCTCTTCAAAGTTTCCCTTCTTGTTAAAGAACAGTAATAATACATATTAGAAATAATAGCCTCGTTTGAAGACTTTCTTCAAAGCTTTCTTGCTTTTTACTTGTAACTCTTTGTTAAGCCCTATCCTATGTAGCTGTTAGATATAAAAGAATAAGACTGGTAGTTTAACCAAGATATTTGTGCTAGACATGCTCACAGACACATAGTACATTCTGTGCCCTTGTACTTTAATCAAGATATTTATGTTATTACTTTTCTAAGTCCTTTTGCAAGCAACTTCCTCTCCCTTATTGAGACTTCCTCTTTTTCTTTGTTTTCCATTGCCTTTACCTATTTAGAAAAGTTTTAAGTTGTTAGCCAATCAAGTTTAGTTTAGATTGTGGAGTCTGGCTCCAACCAACAGAGATCAGACACAGCAGTAAAGACCCAATGCATAAAGAATAAATATGCCTGCCTTTCCTTTGTTCATTGTACTCTCATGGCAAGATGGCTGATGAGCAATATCCTTTCTGCAGAAAGTAAAATTGCCTTGCTAAGAAAACTTTTTGTCTAAATACTAATTTTTCCTTACAGTACCTAAGAACAAGCATTCTGTCTCTAACAAAGCCACAGAGCAGAACAAGGGACTTGGCTGATATCTTAGCAGTTGGCCTAGAACAGAATCACCGAGCTTCCTGAAGCCAGAGGGTGTGTAGGGCCAGGAGCTAGAATGTGCCACATGCCCCAAGCACAGGCCCCCAAAGAGGCTTTGTGGGAATGAAGGAGCCCCTGGCAGACCATGCATGACCAACTGATGACCAGATAGGGATGGGGATGTTCCAGCAGGTGCTGGCATGGACGAATGATGATGGCTGAGGAAGAGAGTCTTACACCACTTAAAGCCTCCCAGACCCCACCGAGCTTAGCCCCAGAAGAAGGTCGGGGGAAACTCTGAATTGACTGAGATTAATTTCTACCATCTGGTGAAATGGGGTTCCTAATAGAAATTACATTTGGTGTTAGAAAAATAAAGTTATGCTTCTTGCAGATTAGAGTTTGTAGGCTGAGTTGTACCTATTATATAAATAATAAATTAATATTTTCTTTACAATTTTCTTGTAAATAAAAGAGAAAAAAGCAATTTCAGTAGAATAGTACTGCATGCAAGAGAAATGCCACTTTCAATTTTTGTCAATTTTCCTTCTTGTCTCTGAATTCAGAAAGCACAAGGCTCGTGCCACAAGTTCACGTCAAATGACTGCAGCATTTTGAGTGAAACCTATAAAATCTAAGTTCATGGATTGTTCCTTTTTTTTTTTTTTCAATTGCTCATTCTCAGGGGTCCATTTACAAGTCCATCCATCCCGGGAGACTAAGAACACTGCTCACTGCGAGAGCTAAGGAGTTTTCTGGACAAGAATGGAGGGAGGACTCCTGCCACCCTCCAACAGGCAGTTCGATAAATAACCGCTGCTCCCTAGTGGCCCCTGAAATGCAGCATTTCAGCAGCTCTGAAATAACAATGTCTGCGGAGTAGGAGGGCACTGGCAATGTTGCTGAGAACAACAGCTGGGACTCGCAGGGGCTGAGGGCTGGAGCCATAGGTAGCCCAGAAGCCGAGGAGTCCAGAACCCCTGCTGAACCCACTGGGGCCATCCGACCCAGTTAGGGGGCAAGAGGATAGGTAGGCATGGAGCACAGATGGCCCTGGGGTAATCCTAGTGCTTCTGGTTAAGGGACCTCCAGGCTTGACGCAGCTGTTCTCCTTAATTTCATCATCCCATGGTGTACTGGGCATGCCTGGGGGCTTCTGGGAGCACAGGCAGGACAAGGGCAATTTGGGAAGGCGGAAGAAGCCTGTGGGGAAAAGAAAAGGGAAGATAGTGACCGCATAAGATGGGGAGCTGCCTTTCCAACAGGGAAGTCTTGCCAGTGAGTAGATGAAATCTGTGCCCCATCCTCTGCAAGCCCCTAGCAAACATGCGACCAGGAAAGAGTCTGAGATCATGTCACATTTCCTGAGATGAGCACGTAGGCAGAAGCTCCTTCCTTTAAGCCTTAGTTCTTACTGGGGATGGAAATTCCACTCAACAAAGGTTTATATAGCTTGCTTCCTTCTAATGGGATTTCCAGCATGTGGGAATTGAATTGTGAGGGAACAGGTAAATCTTCCCAGAGTGTCTGAAGTCATCGCTGCCTTAACCTTTAGCTGGGCCTCTGTCCCTCCCTCCTAGGAGAGTCCCCATGGCCTCAGCTGAAAATGGGACAAAGTGGGGAATTGTGAGTCTTTACACTTGTAATTTTCATGGGGCTGTTTAGCTTTGAGCTTGACCACTCCCTTCCTCTGGGTGGCCCAGTCTGATCCAGGAACTCAGGATGACTAAGAGGCTGGTCTCATGGCCCAGGGCAGAGCCTACCTGAACCACAGCTGAACCAGCAAATGGGGGTGGGAGAAGATGAAGGCTGAGTTCCCTGGCTCCCTTCATTGCCTTCCAGATGTGGAGGTGGCTTGGGATTGAGGACTCTGATCTTCTCAGGACCCAAGGGCATCGATGCCCGCAGGGCTGAGCACCAGTGCCTGAAGGATGTCGGAGAGGGAGACCACGCCCAAGAGATGCTGGGTCTCGTCCACTAGCACCAGCCTGTGTACCTGTGGGTCCGCAGTGTTCAGTGAGGGGGCAGAGCCATGGGGCTACGGCAGCTACTGAGATTGGTGCCAAGAATCAGGGGAAACAACCCAACATGACTAGGGGAGAAAGAGAGTGCCTCCAGTTGGGATTGGCTGTAACCGCCCTAGGGCAATCAGCTGGCATTGGCCCGTGGCACAAGGGCTCCATGGACAGGACCAGGCGCAGACCAGTGTGGACACCAGGAGTTGGTCATGCAATGGGAGGATAGGCCAGGCACCCGATGTTCAGGGGTGGCTGGAGCCGTGCATGAGAAGGACTGGGCCGTATGTGCTGGGACATGAATGGAGGGCACAGGGTACCTGCTCCCGAGCAATCCTGTCGATCACTTCCCCCAAGCTCTCGTGGGGCTGGCAGGAAAGGACTCCCTCCAGACATAGTGTCCTCTGCCTCAGGGCTTCTCCCACACTCATGTCCAGATGGTTGTAGGTTTGCTGGGCAGCCAGGTGCTGGGGCAGAGAGAGAAATATGGCTCCTAGTCACCCCCTTACCTGGGCTCCTACCCCACAGATGTCACCCCCTGCATATTTATCAAGGTCCCCCTGGTCCACAGAGGCCCCCATCCATCCCCACACCCTTAAACTCCCTGCAGCACCCTAGCTTTCCAGCGACACTTACAATCACATCAAAGCGGGAATAGAGGCCCACGACCTGACCTGCAGAGGGTAGCAGGTGGGGAAAGGGAGAGAAAGACAGGGAAGAGGCTCCGATCAGAACCGGGGTGCCGTGTAGAGGGCCTAGGGATAACTGACATCAGGGTGCCACTACCAGAACCCAAGGATCAAACTTAGCATCCCAGTGTGAGACACCCTGGCATTGAGCATCCTGAGGAAATGCAGTATGAGTAACACAGCATCACCTACAAAACAGTCTAGCCTCCAATGCATCACTCCAATCTCTTCAAGTCGTTAGATATAATTTCAGTTTACAGGAAACACAGGAATAGAGAATAAAGTAAAGGCCAGCTCTAGAAAGCAAACAGACAAATTTAGATGTGGAGTATCCTACTGGACAACTGAGCCAGGCTGTTCAACTCATCCATGTCATAAAAATTAATGGGGAATGGAGTTGTTCTAGATTTAAAGAGATTAAGGGACAAAAGACAAATGCAAGCCATGGACTTCAACTGGATCCTGTTTTGGACAAATGAAGTATAAAAAATACATTCCTTTGGGAGGCCAAGGTGGGCAGATCATGAGGTCAGGAGTTCAAGACCAGCCTGGCCAAAATAGTGAAACTCCATCTCTACTAAAGATACAAAGAATTAGCTAGGCATGGTGGCAGGAAGCTGTAATCCCAGCTACTTGGGAGGCTGAGGCAGGAGAATCGCTTGAACCCGGGAGGCAGAGGTTGCACTTGAGCCTAGGCGACAGTGCAAGACTCCATCTCAAAACAAAACAAAACAAAAAAACCCATTGTTGGCCAGTTGTGGTGGCTGACGCCTGTCATCTCAACATTTTGGGAGCCCCAGACGGGTAAATCACTTGAGGTCAGGAGTTCGAAACCAGCCTGGCCTATATGGCGAAACCCTAGCTCTACTAAAAATATCCCCCCAGAAATTAGCTGGGTATGGTGGTAGGTGCCTGTAATCCCAGTTACTCAGGAGGCCGAGCCATGAGAATCGATTGAACCTGGGAGGTGGAGGTTAGAGTGAGCCAAGATAGAGCCACTGCACTTTAGCCTGAGTGACAGAGCGACAGTCCATCTCAAAAACAAAACAAAACAAAAAACATTCTTGAGGAAATGGAGAAGTGAGAATAAGGATTGGATATTGGACAATAATATAAATTATTAATAGTTTTGTTTGGTGGTATGAAAATACACTTGTTTTAAGGGTGCAGACTGAAGTGTTTAGGGGTGAAATGACATGATATCTATAATTTACTTTGAATTACTTTAGAGAAAAAGATGAGCTGGTTATGGCAATAGAGTAGCAGTAATTAATCTAGGTGGTGGATATAGGGGCTTCATTATGCAGTTTCTTTCTACCATTTTCATACATTTGAAGTTTTTCATCATCAATAATAAATTTAAAACACTTCTTGATATCTATCTTAATTATGGTGATTTTACCTTTGAAATATTTTATAGCCATCATTCAACCAAAGAAATAACCTTTAGCTCTTTTTCAGCGTAGGAAACTGAGTTCTTGCTGGGGGCCCAAGGGTCTCATAGCACATTTTAGTTTTTTTAATTTTATTATTTCATTATTATTATTTTAGAGACAGAGTCTTGCTGTGTTGCCCAGGCTGGAGTGTCACGGTATGTAACCTCAAACTCCTGGCCTCAAGTGACCTTCTCGTGCGTGACCATTACACCTGTGCGCCACTATGCTTGGCTCTATTTTACGATGAACTAAAACTAAAAACCTGGTCTCCTACTGCTTCCTCTTGCTATGCCCATTTGAGTGCACAAAACCTTTTAAATCCTCCTGTAAAGTCAGAAAGATGAGTGTTGTGAAGATTCCCATGTCACAAATAAGGAAACTGAGGCACAGAGTGGCTAAGCAACCAGACTAAGTCTCAGAGCAGACAGAGACTTCAAATCCCCACTCCATCCTGTACTCCCCCCAGGGATGGCACAGGAACCCCTGCACTCCCCCCAGAGATGGCACAGGAACCCCTGCACTCCCACATTCTCCCCACCAGGTTCTCCCAGGCCCCAGCCCAGCCCGAGCCTCTCATCCTGGGGGTGGGTACCATATTCGTTGACCACAGGCAGTGCAGACACACGCCGGTCCACAAAGATGTCCAGTGCAGTCAGAATGGGTGCTGTCTCCAGCACCACAGCCAAGTCTCGGAATGTGCCGATGCCCAAATCTTGGATAGTGCGGTAGAGGAAGGAGGGCCGGGGCAGCAGGGTACCCTGGTTGGGATAAGGACCCGGTGGAGATCAGGGATCCAGCAGCTTCAAGAGGGCTTCCAGCTCCTCCCTCCCACTCCTAAGGTTGAAGACTTCTCAGGCCCTCTGATCACCTCCCCAGGTCTCCCCCTTCCTCCCACCTGGGCCCAGGCTCACAAAGATGTGCAGGAACTTGAGCAGGCGTTTGTGTGTGAGGATGTGGAGGACGGTGCCTGACACCGGGTCCAGAACAGGCAGGCGATGGATCCGGTTCTTGATGAGGGTGTAGACAGCTTCAAACAGGCTGTGGAGATGGGAGCAGTGAGCCTGGGGGCAGCCTGGGGGAGACACCCTGCATCTCAGCCCCCTAAAAGGGAGGGCAGGGCACCAAGGCTGCCTTGTCTGTGTGCTGCCTAGGATGAAGAGGTGAGTTCGGAGCTGAGTGGGACTGGGCAAGGGGACTGTGGGAGAAAGAGGCTCAGGTGAATGAGTGGGGACACCCACCTGTCATTAGGCGAGATGGAAACCAGAGGCTTGAAGCAGCCTTGCAGGTAGATCTCTGCAGAAAGAGCCGAAGTCAGGCCAAGGGAGCTGCTCACCTGCCTCACCTTGCAGTCCCAGGCTGCTTCCCTTCCACCAGGCACCCGAGGCTCCTATTGTCCTTCCCCAGCTTCTCCAGGACATCCCCCCTTCCCATCCTCCACCTTAGGCCCTGGCCCACCCTCACCTGACAGCCCCTTTCCGGGTCCCCTCTCCCAACTCACCCCTCCAGGTCTCAATCTTATGTTCTTCAATCTCATAGATCTGGACCTAGAGACATCGACAGGACTCCAGAAGTCAGGCAGACACGGGCTTCTAGGTCACCAGGCTCCAGGAAGACTCCCCTCTGCCCCTGCCCCACTGGGTGCCCACAAGATTCCCAGCCCACTCCTCACCAGCGGGGACCTGTAGTAGCGATGCAGCACCAGGATGAAGTCAGTGATGGTCAGCATCCCTGCAGGAGAGGAGCAGGGAGGAGTTCAGCCCGGAGCCTTTGGGTGGGAGGCAGGTTGAGGGTCAGACCCCCTCCCCACCCTGCCAGTGTTCTTGCATTGCGAAGAGGACATGAGGCAGCCCCCCAGGCCTGAGAAGTGGGGCTTTCCCTCTCTGCCTTCTCCCATTTGTTCCCTAGCACCTCTGGCACAGGGCCATGTGGTAGCAGAGCGGGAAGGTGTCAGCTGGTCACAGCGGCTCCACAGATGTGGAAATTGATCCCCAAGTTCTCCCAGCTGGCCACCCAGACTTGGGGTGGACTTTCCCCCACCCGGGCTCCTGGCTGTGCTTACTTGGCCTGACACCAAGCTTGTCGTATGCTAGAGTTCAGGCCCAGGATGACTGTACGAGGTCCCCCCTCCCCCGTCTCCATCTCCCATCACCTCCCCAGCCTCTCCTTACCCACAAAGCTCTGCTTCTTGCTGTCCCACAGAGGGGCTGCCCGCACACCGTTGGCCACCAGGGCAAAGAAGGCCTTCTTGATCTGAGGGTCCAGGGAGAACAGTCAAGGGTGGGTCCCGAGAGACCCTCACCCTCCTCTCTCTGCCCCTCAGTGGGCACCTCCCATCTGCCTGCTGTCCCCTCCCTGTCCCACCCAGGGTTCTTCCATGAGGCCTTCTTCTGGACCCTCTTCTACACCAGCTTGCCTGTCTTTCTTATGTCACAGCACATGCTAGACATGATCGTTGCTGGGGACACGTGGTACACAGGCTGTGGCCTGAGACACAGAGCTGCTCACCTGGCACACCAGGGAATGAGAAATTCTAACTTCATGTTTCCATTTGGAGGGCATGTGTGTGCACAGTCTAGTTTCTGATAGGATAAGTGCCGGAGGCATAGCTATTTATGTAACATTTGCATATTTACATACTTTTTTGTAGATAAATTTTATATTGACTCATTTGAGGTCCATCCTTTTTTTTTTTTTTTTTTTTTGAGACAGAGTCTTGCTCTGTCACCCAGGTTGGAGTGCGGTGGCAAGATCTTGGCTCACTGTAACCTCTGCCTCCCAGGTTCAAGCAATTCTCCTGCCTCGGTCTCCCAAGTAGCTGGAATTACAGGCACCCACTACCATGCCCAGCTAATTTTTTTTTTTTTTTGAGAGACAGGGTTTCACCGTGTTGGCCAGGCTGGTCTTGAACTCCTGACCTTGTAATTTGCCCGTCTTGGCCTCCCAAAGTGCTGAGATTACAGGCGTGAACCACTGTGCCTGGCCTCTGCAATGTCTTACACATACTTTGCTCATGCTTTATACTGGGTAGTCCAAGAATCTTCTGAACTATGCAGGGTGCAGAGGCATTTCAATTCTCATTTTAGAGAGGAGAGAGGTAAAGTAACTCCAAGTCCTGCAGATACTAAGTGGCAGAGCTGCAATGACAATTAGGGGTGCTCACAGAGAGTAGAAGCTCTCCCTCCCCCAGCTGGCCTCCATAGTGCTAAGAAGGAGTCCTTTCAGGGAACTTGCGGGGGCACCTGGCTTGGCAGAGCATTTTGTGGGGCGGGGGTGGTGGCTGCAGCACCATGTGGTGGAGAGCGGGTGCAGGTTGGGCAGAGCCGTGGCCTCACCTCCAGCGTGGTGTCAAAGATGACCAGCTTGGAGCTGGTTGCCATGGCGTCGTAGCAGGTGTGCTCCTGCATGAAGCGCATGTAGACCTGGGCACCGGGTTTCTGCAGCTCGTCATCCCAGCCCAGCTTGGGAAATGGGGCCTCCGGGGACAGGCTCGGGGCAGGCCTCTCTTCCACCAGGTCTTCTGGCTCATGCTCCCAGGCCTCTGTGGCTGGAAACTCCGAGGCCACATCATCTGGGCTAGAGCCTGCAGCTGAGGCTGTGCAGTCACGGGGGAGGCTGTCCCACCCTGCTGGTGGAGTGCCCACCGCGGCAGGATCAGCCTGAGCCAAGGGTATGGCCTTGGGGAATGTGGCCTCCAGCCCAGTGGACTCAGCAGCTGGCCTGGACCGGGGACCTGTTTGGGGGAGGAGGGAAGAGGACAGTAACTCCATCTTCCAAAACACTTTCTCATCTGCTGTCGTAGTTCATCTCACGGCAGCCTTGGGAAGCCTGGATGCTGTGGCCCCATTTTGCAGGTGAGAGGCTGATCTGAGAGTCACCCCAGATAGTGGCTCTGTCTCATCTCTCTGAGTTGGCCATACTGGCCCCCACCACTACAGAGCAGTTGTTCTCCCCCAGGTAGGGAGACTGAGGCCACAGATGAGGGTTGGGTCCAACTCCGTGTTACGGAGGGACCTGGGACTTTCCACCACCCTGGCTGTGATCTCCCCAGAACTGGCCTTGGCCTCACCTTCCGCCAGACCTGGTGGCTCCCCTTCCTCCACCGCCTCCTGCCTTGTCCATCTCGAGGCCTTGGCCCTCCGTTTCCCACAGGTTCTTTCTGAGCTGCTGGTCACGGCTGGTGATGGCCATGAGGTGCTGGCTTCTTGCTCTAGGAAGCTCATCTCTGGAAGGGGAACGGGGCCTGTTTGATTAATAGGGAGTCATACAGCAAACTCCATTCAAACATTATTAATAATAACCTTCAGGATGTGCGACTTCCCAATGGGCTTTTCTTCAACATATTTCTCATTTGAAACTCACAGCAGCCCTAAAAGGTAGGCATTATTATCATCCCTGTTTTGCTAGTGAGGGACCAGAAATTCAGAGAGGTTAAGCAATTTGCTGCAAATCACACAGCTAGTAAGTGGGAAAGTCGCTTCTGAAAAGAGGATAGAGGAGGTGAGGGAAACACACCTGGGGAAAGGAGGAACAATGAGGAAGAAAGAACAAAAGGAGGAAGATAAAAGCCAGGCTGGGAGGGAATGGGGTCCCAGAAAAGTGGGGGGACAAGGAAGTGGGGGAAGAGGTTAGGCCCCAGGGAGGGGGCAATCTCCCTACCTTGATGCTCAGAACCCCCAAGGCTGCTCCAGGAAGGGGTCTGTGTGGAGAAGACTTTCTGAAGACGTGGGGAAAGAGCCTTACATTCCCAAACCACAGGTCCTCCCCTTCTCCTTCACACATGCTTACACACCCATGCACACCAATACACAAGCTCAGACACATGGCCATAACACACACACACACACACAAAAACACAAACACACACCGAAACACACACATCCAACCATTCCCAGGCCCACAGAGCTGCACACACTCACAATACATATGCCCAGACACCCACATGCCCATATTCACGAGAAAATCCAGACCAAACCCACACCAACAGATGCACACGTGCAAACACACATTCACAGCATGTGCTCTCAATCTTCTGGCCTCAGCTGCCCCGGCTCCGGCTCCCCTGGGCCCTCATACCCTGCGCAGAGCGTGCTCCAGCTCGGGCTCCATGTGGCCAGCCCCGGACCAACAGAGAGCAAGTGTGCGACACTGTGGCTGAGCCGCACTATTCTGGGCCCGGCGTTGGGCACCCTGCCCTACCAGGATCGGTTTCTCTCTGATTGGGTGTCAGGCAGTGGGAGGGAGGGGCACCCACTTGCTCAGCTGCTCCAGCTCTGAAGGCTGGGGGCTGCTGGGAGGAAAGGGGCGCACCTGATAATCTGCGTACCTGGTCCTTAGCTGCCTCCTGGGTCACTGGGGACAAGTTAGAGGGACCCATTATCCGGGGAGGTGGCTTGGAGCATTGTGGGAACGTGGGCACTGGGCACAGTTGGGCTCTCAGAGTCCTGGGCCCCTATTCCAAAGGCCTCTCTCATCTTTATCAGGCATCAAAGCAAGGAACATGGAGAGAGGTCAGAATAACTTTCTTCCTTATTCACTTTCAGTAGAGGTGGTGCTGGAGTCAGAAAGGGCAAGTTGCAGCCAGCTTAGAGGCTGGAGAGGAGGCAAGGGGTTTGTGGGTAGTTCCAGGAGAGCAGTCAATGTATGTCCAGATATCCAGATTTGAGTCTCTGGAGCCTGTCCCTCTCTCAGGTGGAGGAGGTGGAGTGGGTGTTTCAGGCAGGTGAAGAGCTCTGAGAATCACCTCGAAAGCGTGGGGAGCACTCAGAGCTCCCCGCAGGAGAAGAGACACCTGTTTCCACCTGTGGATGGGAGAGATGCCTGGGTGTGCAGCTGCCCAGCCCCCATCCCTCTGTCAGTGCTGTGCCGACATCCCCGGTGCCAATGGGATCCCAGCCTAGCTCTGGTGGCTGCCCGCCCCCTTCCTTGGCATTCCCGGAGCCTGAGTCAATGTCCAGATCGGAAATGCTGACCCAGCTGCTCTGGCTTTCCTCTTTCTGCCCCTCCCTTTCTCTCCTGCTTCCAGCCTCTTCCATCCCAGCCCTGGCCCTGGAGTGGACACTTAACAACGCACTGATGGATTTCTTGCTAAATTTATTGCATGTGTTTGCCATCAACACTCAATATGCCTTCACTGCCTACAGGGAGGGTAGAGGAGAACGGAGTGGGGAGGACGGCCTTGGCCAGGACTGTCCCTGTGGCCCCCAGCCTTTCCCCAAGCACATCCTGCTCACCGGATAGTGGGAACTGGCTCAGTGGACAGAGATCAGAATAAGAGAGTTTCTATCACAACAAGCATGTTTTTTTCAAATGGACTCAAGATAACCACCACCCATTTGAGAGAGAGGAGAGTAGGAAGAACACCAAGTCCAGAATATTCAAGCATAAAAATAAAGTCTACATGAGGCCATTGGCTGTGGTTACTCAAACATGGAGCCAATCAGAAGGCTTCTAAGATTGTGAGGGCATTGTATTGGCAAATAAACCTGATCAACAAAGCCTGGTTTGACACCCTCCCCTTGCTCTATTCCCAGCCCTCCAAATCCGCCCAGCAGGAAGAGGACTGCGAAGGCTGGAAGGGCTGCAAAAGGCACAAGCCTGCCAGTGCCGGACAGAGGATATTGGATAAGGAATAGCCTCCCAGCAGGCAAAGCCCGAGGTGACATAGGAGAGTGGAAAGGGGAGATCTTCCCAGAGAGTAGAACCAGGGGTGGTCAAATGTGCTGACCAAGAACTTACTCCACTGCCAAGAAGGGGCTTAGCCATTCCTGCCCAACCAGATTTGATAATTAAGATCCAGCAGCTGTTGGGTGTTTGCCATTCTTTCAGCAAGTGGATTTTTTTTTGAGACAGGCTCTCACTATGTCGTACAGGATAGTCTCAAACTTCTGGCCTCCATGATCCTCCTACCTCAGTAGCTGGGACTACAGGACCACATGATTAGCAGTGCCCAGCATGATTAGATGTTTTAATTGAGCTTACCCTCTTCTTCCTCCACTGTTGTCTGTGGGAAGTAAGAGGAGCAAATCACCTGCCTGTTAGTTTATAGGTCACCAGACCATGGGGAGTCCATCTACCTGCAAGAGAGGACTGCCTGCCTCGGATAGCGGGGCTCGCAGCTGGGTGCTGTACTGAGATGGAACTCTGACTTGTCTCCTTTTGAAGGGCGGTAACTCTGTTTTGTGTGTGGGATGGCCAGATGGGTGGGCTCTGGCAGAACAATATCTATTTTCCCCTTCTGCTGCTGCTAGTAAATTGTCACAATTTTAACTGAATGCAAGATTATATTTCCCAGCTTTTGCAGTTAGTATGCCCATGTAACTAAGGTTGATCAATGAGATTTGAGCAGCAATGTTATATGCATATATGTTATATGTTATAAGGGTGTCCTTAGGAGGAAAGGGAACCCTTTCCTACTGACTAGAATTACAATATGATGGTGGGAGCTGAAGCAGCAAACTGAACCCAACAGTGGAAAATGCAGTTTGAAATTGATAGAACAAGCCAGGCGCGGTGGCTCACACCTGTAATCTCAAGACTTTGGGAGACCAATGTGGGTGGATCATGAGGTCAGGAGATAGAGACCATCCTGGCCAACAAGGTGAAACCCCGTCTCTACCAAAAATGCAAAAATTAGCCAGGTGTGGTGGTGCACACCTGTAATCCCAGCTACTCAGGAGGCTGAAGCAGAATTGCTTGAACCTGGGAGGCAGATGTTGCATAGAACCAAGATCGCACCACTGAACTGCAGCCTGGCAATGGAGCTAGATTCTGTCTCAAAAAAAAAAAAAAAAAAAAGAAAGAAAGAAAAAGAAAGAAAGAAAATGGTAGAACATCCCTCATCTCTGTCCTGTCTGCCTACCTCTGGATTATTATGTTAGAGAGAAATAAATTTCTGTCTTGTTTAAACAACTGACAAATTGAACCTTTGTTATAGCAGGCAAGCCTCTCTCTAACGAATACATCTACATTGCAGGATTGAGGTAGGATTAGGAATTACTTATGTAGATAATGACCCTGCATGTTCATGCAATACTTAGTGTCTAGTACACACTGTGCAAAACACATTATATGCCATGTCCCGCGTAATCCCTTGTAACCCTATGAGGGAAATAGTTTTACTATTACAGTTTTATAGATGATAAAACTGAGGCATAAATAGATTAAGTAACTTGATCAAAATCTCAAAGCGAGTGGGATGGAGCCGAGAATCAAACCCAGACTCAGGCACCACATTCGTAACCACTAAGCTTTATGGAAGGAACAGACCTGCTTCCTCTAGCCCTCCGACTACGAGACTCTAAAGGCAGGCAGGCACGGGAGGACTCTGACCCTTTAGGGGCCATCTCCTGCTGCCGTCAAGGTTGAGGTGTAGGAGGACTCCAGCTGGGGGTAGACACCAGAGCTGCTCAACACTAAAAGCATAGTGACTTCCCGGTTTTCAAGAAGAGCTCTGCCCTGCCCCTCCCCTGACCCTGCACCTGCCCTTTGCCTCTCAGATCTCCCACCCTGCTCTGACCACAAGCCTGTCCCCATCTATCCTGCTGGCAGGGCGAATTAGCAGAAGGTACTGGCTTCAGTTGGGTAATATGTACTCCTTGGGTGATTGATTTTAGCCTCTGGCCATGGCATCGTATTTCTTGAAACCCTACTTCTTGGCTTACTTGCAGACTGGGTGTATAATAAGGACCCTGTACCCTAACCCTAGGGTGAATTTGGCTGCCATCTCTGGAAAGCTGATTTGTCTCGAACATGGGGTTGGGGATCCTGTTTAAGTGTTATTTTTATATCAGAAGGAGGGAAAAACAGCTTGAGGAGGCCAAGAAAGTAGCCTGGATGAGACCCATTACTGAATAAATCACAAATAGGGTCCCCTATGCCAGAGCAGTTGGGAGGCTGGGAGAGCAGCCTTCATGTCCATCAGTGGACACAACTGCTCTGTCCTGTGTGTGTGTGGCCGGACAGAGCAGCGTCTGTGCAAATGTCTCGAGGACCTGGGCAGAACCAGCAGCTTGTTAATGCAATCTAGTCTGTGCCACAGGTCCCATGACTGAGTTTTTTTTCTGTGAGCTGTTGGGAATTGTAATGGACAGTTGTTGCTTTTCTGTACCCACTACCCATTTATCCCTCTTTTGGCAAACTTCTAGGTTTTCCCTTGGAAACCTCAATTCTCTGAATTCACCTGCGGCACATGATTTTCAGAAGGGCTCTACTGTGGATTCCATGAAGTATACCTCTGCTTCAGATGTAGCCAATTAGCATGCCAAATTAGCATGCCAGAATTAGTCCGATGGGCTGAATCCTGGGACTTTTGCTGGAACTAGAAACTCTTTCCCACTGTCTTTAAAACTGTGAGGAGGTTTAAAAAAAAAAAATGCCAGGCATGGTGGCTCATGCCTGTAATCCAAGCACTTTGGAGGCCAAGGCAGGCGGATCACCTGAGGTCAGGAGTTCAAGACCAGCCTGACCAACATGGTGAAACCCCGTCTTTAAAAATAAAATAAAATAAAACTGTGAGGAGGTAAGTGTGGAGATTCTGCATGCTACCATGCAGAGTGGAGCTGCCTGAGGATGAAGCCAAAACAGAGGACAAAATGGACACTGTGACCAACAAGACCAGGTTCTCCTGACATTCATTGAACCCTGGATCAAACTGTAGCTGAAGACCTACCACTTGGTTTTTTAGTTACATGAACCAATAGAATGGCTTTTTTGCTTAATGGAGTTTGAATTGAGTCTTCGGTCGCCTGCAGCTGAAATAATTCTGATACAAGAGTTGACAAAGAAACAGAATACTTGGCCAGATGTAGTGGCTCACACCTGTAATCCCAGTGCTTTGGGAGGCGGAGGCAAGCGGGTCACCTGAGATCAAGAGTTTGAGACCAGTCTGGCCAACATGGTGAAACGCCATCTCTACTAAAAATATAAAAAATTAGCTGGGCGTGTTGATGCATGCCTGTAGTCCCAGCTACTCGGAAGGCTGAGGTGGGAGAATCACTTGAACATGGGAGGTGGAGGTTGCAGCGAGCTGAGATCGTGCCACTGCACTCCAGCCTGGGAAACAAGAGTGAAACTCCATCTCTTGAGAAAAAAAAAAAAAAAAAAAGAAAGAAACAGAAGACTTAGACACCCTCAAAGGCTTCTGGGGGATGTT